ATAGACAGGTCTTGTCACTCCCAGTGTCTGAACGGCATGCAGCAAAGTGGAGGGCTTGTTTCTGCTGAGGAGCAGAATGAGATGGCCATGTTGTGTGTCAGGGCGCCTTGTTTCGGAGAGATTGGAATCTTTATTGAAAGAGCTCCCTTTTTTGATTTCCGGATCAGGCCCTGAGCAGTTGATAAGGGAGAATTACTTGGCCATTATCAGAAGTAGTTGTATGTCCACAAAGAGCTGGGACTAAACAAGAGTTTATCTCTGCGACAAGACTGATAGAATTCACACAGATTATAATTCAATCAGACACCTAAAAGAGCATGTATATTGGCTGGTTGCGTATGTGCAAACCTCTGGCCTCCAGACACAGCACAGGAAATACTCTGGGGAATAGTTCCTGTGGTCTGAAAACTGGGAATAAATGTTAGAGCGCTACTCTTGGTTGCTACAGGCTCTGTCTCTATTTAATCCATAGTAATATTTTTAAAGAAATGTAATCCTAAAAGAATGCCATTAACCCAAAGAGTCAACTCTCTGTGACCTTTGCAATTATTTGCTAAAACACTCCCAAAAGGTTCAAAGTGTATTTCTAAGACTTAAGAAATACCATCTTCGTAGCAGCAGCTAACAGGTCTTGCTATCCTCTCAGAAAGCTGGGGAAACTGAAAATTTTCATGGGGAATTTCATGGGAAATTTTCATGAATGAAAATGAATAGTGAACTCAAAAATAAATTTGTTTAGGGACTTCCCTGGCGGCCCAGTGGTTAAGACTCCATACTCCCACTGCAGGGGGCTAAGATCCTGCATGCTGTGGGGTGCAGGCCCCCGCCAAAATACACGTTTAAACACAAAGCTTCAGTTCTACTTGGAACACCAAACTTTGACCTATTTTTTGCAACTTCTGAAACTATTTTTCACAAACGAAATGAGAAGAATGTAGGGTTCCAGGGTTTGATTCTAGCATCAGGCAGCTTGAGGTTAGCTAACACACTGGCTTCATCACCCAGTAGCTGTGAATCCTCAAGCAAACTTCTTAAGTTCTCTGAGCCTAATTTCCTCATCTGTAATAAAGTGGGGATAATGAGAATATTTAATTTGTAGAGTAGTTATGAAGATATAGTGAAATAATATGACAATGCAAACAAATACAGTACTCTGCAAAAGTTAAGCAGGTGATAAATATTACTTGCCATTGTTGTTAGCACAGAATGCCTGTGGTTTAATGAGTCAGAGGCCTTGGACCCAGTACACACTATTATATTCTATAACCAACTTTGCATCAATATTGTGATCTGGTACTAATTTCCCAACTATTATGTTTCTGTTCTGCCTTTAATTTTCTAAGTTCCTCCTTAAAATTTCTTATCAAACAGAACAACTAGAAAAAGAAATGATGCTCTTGTATCTATGAGATATTTCATAGCTTTGTATTTTTATCTTCAGTGACACAGAAGCTAATGGACTAGCTAGTAGGGACAGTCAGAACAGTCCTCTACACGGACACAAAAGGACATCTGACAAAAGGGAGGTTCTCGGCTTCCAAGCAGGATGTGGGGCCTGAAACTACTGTGTTTTGCCACCAGCATCTGATTGCAGGTGGGAAAAATGGAATGTGAAGGCAGGGGTCCTCCCCATGTGGCCCGTGATCACTACTTACAAATGCCCTTTTATGGACTTCAGGAAGGGCACTGGCTTGCTCAAACAGTCTCCTCCCTGGTCCTTCCTGTTTCTCCTCTGGCCCCCATCTGGCCTACTCTCAACCCAGCAACCAGAGGGACTCCTTCACTCTGTGAGTCAGATTCTCTCCCCAACCCCCTTCAAAACCCTCGAGTGGCTCCCACCTCACTCAGAAGAAAAGCCGACATCCTGTCAACGCCCTATAAGCCCTTGCCTGATCTGGCCCCATCTCCCACATCTTTCTGTCAATTGGCCTTGTCGATAATCCTGAAAACACCAGGCCTGGAATGCTCAAAGTTATCTACAAGGGGGTTCCTCTGCACTGCAGCCCCTACCTGCATCCACATTAGCCTTTCCTTGCTCTTCTAGCCATATGCACTTGCAGCTTTTAGAATAGTTTTATGACTTAATATGATTGTGGTCTGTAGCAAGAATGTACACTGCATGCAACTAGGGGCTTCCATCAGTTTTGTTCACCGATGTTTCTTATCTTAAGTGTCTAGAAGAGTGCCTCATGCCTAGCAAGTGCTTGATATGTATTTGTTGGATGAATGAATGAGTGAGTGAATAGATGAACACACACACACGCAAGCTCCTGGTTCCCAGCCACCATAGCCATCTCCAAGACAAGAGCAACGGGCCAGGGTGAGAACTGGCGATCAGTGACTCATTTCTAGAGCATCAAACCTCCTGTTTGTGTTCTGCAGATGCAAACAGGCTTGCTGCTTTCTCCCACTGCCAATCTGAAAACGGACTGCAAATTTTGCTCATTTAAAACAACCACAACTTGCAAAGTCTTTCACAGGCCAAGCTACATTGTCATATTTCGAGATGTCTGCATTCTTATTCTGTGTCCATCCATTAATGAGCTTGGAGGCTCTGAGAAAGAAATAAGCTTCACTGGGATCCAGTAAAATAAATGACAACTAATTTTTTTCCAGCTTAAAAAGTCTCAGTTTTTAAGAAAAAAAGTAAAAAACAAGTCAAGCCCTCTTTGACCACTCCTCTCCTTCCTCAACCCATGATTTATAATATATGCCCAAATTTTAATATTAATAGCTCAGCCTAATAAGAAAGCTACCTGGTTTGGCCCATCTCACAAAAGGAATGATGTTAACAGCTAGGTGTGACTCATCTGGAAATAGTGCTACCTCAGGTGATAAACTGGAGGTGATTCCAAAGCTATATTAACACTTTCTTCTAATCTGGAGCCATAGCTCTGACCAAACTAAAAAATGCTTCTGCAGACAGTATCAAAACAGCTATCATTCTCCTCCTGTCCTCTGCTACAGCTTATGGCACGGTAGGAGTCCTTGCTAAAATGCTAGATTCTTGGCAGTATAGAAGTCCTCTGGGAACACAGAGATATTCACACTCATGCCATCTCATCACATCCTCCTGAACCTACTGGCCACAGGAAAGCTGAACTCTCAAAAGTACCTGTAGCAATGATCAGTTTGAACCAATAAAAATAATAATAGTAGCAACCAAGTGTGTACCAATAATGTCGCTTTCATTCATAAAACAACTATTTTGTCAGCATCACATGCCCAGCTCCTTCCTGGTGTTTAGGACACTGAGATGCAGAAGACACATTCCTTGTCCCCAGAACCTGTCTTTGTAAGGAGCAAAGATAACCCAATGAGAAGCAATTAAAAACGACATGGTGGCTCAGTGGTGGGGAATCCGCCTGACAATGTAGGGAACAAGGGTTCAGTCCCTGATCGAGAAGATCCCACCTGCCTTAGAGTAATTAAGCCCGAGTGCCACAACTATTGAGCCTGTGTTCCAGAGCCTGGGAGCCTCAGCTACCGAGCCCGAGAGCTCTGAAGCCTGTGCTCCGCAACAAGAAAAGTCACCGCAACAGGAAGTCCTCACACTCAACGAGGGAGCAGCCCCTGCTCACTGCAGCTAGGAAAAAGCCTGCACAGCAATGCAGACCCAGCACAGCCAAAAATAAATAAATATATGTTTTTTAAAAGACATGAAAAAAGTTTCAGAAATTAAATTACTGAAATTACCACCCAGAAACAAACATCTTCAATGTTATGGGTGCTCACTATTCTAGACATCCCCATCATGTTACTATATGTGTACATATTGGTCCTTTTTCTTTCTTCTTTTTTTGAAAAAAAAATGAAAACGTGCTATATCTAATCATAGCCTCTAAAAAGGCTCTAAAATATCCTTACTATAATTGTTCATGTTCATCCATTTGTAAACAAAGATCTACATCATTTTAACTGGTTGAGTATTGTCCCTTAATGGATTTACTTAAGTGATTCCCCATTGGTTAGCATCCACAATGCATATATTTTTATGTATTTAAATTCAGGATACATTCCTGTATGTGAAAATACTGAGTCAAAAGTAAGGCATTTCCTTTGGGCGATTAAATACAGATATAGATATATCTGTGTGTGTGTGTTTTCCAACTGTCCTTAAGTAAAGTTATACCAATGTTCATTTCTATAAGCAGAGGGTGTGACTGTCCATCCTGAGTATATCATTAAAAAAAAACCTTTGCCAGTCTACTGGATAAGAAGTGGTATCTAATTCTTGTTTTCTTTTGTATTTATATTGTTAGTAAGATTACACTTTAAAAACACCTTTATTGGTAGTTGATATTTCTTATTTTTTTAATTGCTACCTTATCTTAACTCAGTCTTTCCATTAATCATTTTACATATTTTCTTATTGATTTATATAAAAACTCTTCATCTCTAAAGGCTACTAAATTCCTTGTCATCAAGTGTTTAAGCAAAAATACAGGTTTTTTTTACCCTCCAAAATGAAGATAATAATGTCTACCTCAAAGAGCTGGAATAAATGATAGAATTCATAAAAAGAAAATAACGTGGTGGGCATTCTCTGGCAGTCCAGTGGTTAGGACTTGGTGCTTCCAATGCCAAGGCTCAGGTCAATCCCTGGCTGGGGAACTGAGATCCTGCAAGCCAAGCGGCACAGCAAATAAATAAATGTAAATATATGTGTGTGTGTGTATGTGTGTGTATACATATATATATATTATAATACAGCATGGTACCTAAAGTATAATAAAAATTCAATAAAGGTAGTCATTTTATGGGGAAAAAGAGAACTTAACAACTAGCTTTAGGGATGGTCCACATTAAGTGATAGAAGAAAGACAGGTATTCAAGGAAATGACAGAAAACTTTGCAAACACAATGTTGTGGAAATCATGGAATAAAGGATTTCAAGGAAAAAGTACCTAATCAAACTCAGTAATTAGGATAGAGAAATGAACCATTCAGTCTTGGTTGTTTTTTAAGTAAGAAAAGCAAATGTGGACAGTCCTACATACCCAAAGTTGGTCATCCATGCCTGGTGGGTTCTTTTTGATAAAAGCACCATAGTATGTAGCTATATTCCGGTGATGAGAGTATTTCTTCAACATGTTAATTTCCTGTTTGATTTCTTCCTCTTCATCCTGTGTTAGAACCATAAATATTCTGTCATGAAAATCCATTGTCTTTAGTAGGATTCTATTTTTCATCACCATCTATATCAATTATGCAAACACTTGAGTTTTTTCTTCTATGGTAACAAACAAGCATTGTTATCACACTACTTGACTTTGTCTCTTGACTACAAAGAAAAAATTTAAAAGACAACACATTGGTGAAAGGGGTCTTTTGTTTGTATAGAAAACCAATATAGTATGCAACCTGATAGTAAAAAAAAATTCCTCATCTTTTCACCTGGAAGAGATCAAGGCAGACTTGCTATTGAGATAAAACTCACTCTAGGCCTCTGGGAAATTTGTCCATCAAGTACCCATCACTGATCATACTTGGTTCAAGAAGACTAAGAAAAGTGAAAAGAAAAAAAAAATACAGGCTCTTCAATTTAAATTTTGTTAGGTTCATTTTCTTTGAAGTCTCCTTTTATTGAAGTCCCCAGTAGAAGATTATGAAAGTCAGATGGGAAACGAAGCAAGGGTAAGTTCTCTCAATCTGAGGATGTTCACAAAGCAGGAGTACCCATCTCACCTTCAGGAAAGTGCACATGAAAAGAAAGGGGACATGTGGTAGTGGCACAGATGTGAAAAGAAAGAACCCCCCGACAGAGTAAGTTTCGGAATCCAGATTTCATTCATTTTGAGTTTCAATTCAGAGTCCACTAACTTGAGCTTTTTTTTTTAGAAGACCTGGCATCACTAATGAAGGGTGTGCGTGTTCTCCTGTAATTTTATTTTGATGTGTACACATCAATTGGACTTTTAAATAGTATTTTATTTTTGAGGTTGGTGGAAGAACTTCTGAGCCCAGGAAGATTGTTTTAGATGCAGCAGTAAGAATCTCTGAGTGTAAGATTTTTACATCACCATTACCTGAATTCTTGCCTCCTCCAGCTACTCAAACTCAACAATGCTGGGCCCTTCTGTAGTCTCCCACTAGCGTCTTCTTTCCCCTTCCTCTTCACATTGTTTCTACTCACTGTTCCTGACTGAGTTAAATGGATACTGCTGAGGGATGTCTTCTCCAGTTCTCTTGGGTAATGTCAAGTCTCCCCGCTATATCTTGTCCGCCCCCAAAGCCGCACATTTGTTGGTACCGGAGTAGAGGTTAAGGGTCATCCTGAGTCATAACTGCCCTTGTTCTTGACTCTCTCCTCCATGGACTGTAAGTTCTCCTGCCTTCAAATATCAGTTCCAGAGTCCCCTCCCCAGTAAAGCTCTCTGATCTGCCTGACATGCTTCTAGTCCCATAAATCATCACGGATCTCTTCCCTCACAGCACCTACCAGAACTGCAATCCACATTTATCTATTTAAACATTTGACTGAAGCCTCTCTTCCCTATCAATCCATAAAAACTATAAACAAAGAAATCCTTCCTGCTTTAGCTCTTTATAATATCCTAGCATCAAGCAAAATGCCTGTGAATAAGTATTAATAAAAAAGTGAACACCTATAAAATGTCCAACCACTTACAGTAGCCTTCTTTATAGCTTGAAAGGAATTGGTAACAATAAGAGGAGTGGTGAAATGCTGACACTTTCTGACCACACAAAAATCAGTTTTCCTAAAAAGTGATGGAGATTTGCAAACCTAGGAGAATGAGGCATGTTATATATCACATGGCCTATACAAGTCAAAGAGTAGGTAATCTCAAAATAGAACGTGTGCTTGGGATGCTGAGCTAAGAAGAAGCACGTGGCCTTAACAGTGGAAAGGAGTAGAGGAGTGAAGGGCTGGGAAGGAGGCTGGGGGAGGGGATAGCACACTGCTGACCCAAGAAATCTTCCCGGTGGCCATCAAAAACTGCCTACATCCTCACCACAGGTATAAGGAGAGAATGACCTTCACAGTCCTTCAACTTGCTGCAGAGTCCTGCAGCAGACCTCAAAATGTCTGAGGATCATGCATATTAGCTATTTTAAATCTACCACGTGGGGCCAAATAACCATGGATGAATGTATGATGCGAGCAGATGTACTTTAGGGAAGCCTAGATACAAGGGGAGAAAACAAACCTGAGGGTTTCCGGGGTGACCCGGCATCTGCTTTCAACTAAAGGGACAAGTAAATGAGACAGTAAAACATCAATCCCTTTCCCGCAGCAGTGGGACAGGCTCAGCCTGGGTCATTCTTAGTGAGAAGCTGGGCTCGTTCTACTAGTATTTGCTGCCTGTCTCCTAAGTTCTCCACAGGATGGTGGCTGACATCGGAGAAGGAGAGAAGAGAAAGTGCCTAAAAAAGCTTACCATATCATTAAGAAAATAAGAACTTATGAAACAGTTAAATAGCAATGTAATTCAGTATATAATTAAATCCCAATTAAATAGTACTGGGAGGCCAGAATGAAATCAGCACATCCTCTATTGCTTTGCAAAGGTAAATTGAGGCAACATGATAATGAAGAAGGCATATGCATTGAGTCAAGAAAATGAGTCGGGGGGCAGGTGGGGTACACGTCCAGTTTGGGCCCCCCTTCTTTCTGGCTGTATGGTCCCAGGAAAGTAACCTACCTTTTAGAGTCTAATTTTTCTCATTTATAAGGAGATATAGATTTTATAATAGTATTATTATATGTCCCAATCTTTTGTGAAAATTAAATGAAGATGTGAAAGTTATAAAATGTAATACAAAATAAATGCTATTATTAATCTTCTCAACCAAAAAATAAATAACAAGAGTAAGAGGTCAGGAATATAAGTAACTTGAATTTTAGGTTTAAATTGCACTGTTTGCAAACACAGTTAAAGAACCACCGTGGGTCATGGTTATATAGCTCTAATATAGAACCTTGAGCTTGATCTTATATTACCTCCTAAAAGAGTAGGCAATTTATCAGGCCTTCAGGGCTACTGTTTATCCAGATTTCTAGACTAGGGCATTGATGGCCGTAAGTTATGCAGTGAAACTGAAAGGGAGGCACTTCTTGTGACCATAAAGAACTCATTTAACCCCTTCACAAGCAGTCTGACCTCTTACAACATGGCCTATTGAAGAAGATGGGTTATGAAGTTTTCAAAAGGACAGACAGAATTGAGGCTAGAATTAGATTACAAAGCTATAAGAAGTTTTTCTTCTATTTCATAAATGGATTATTCTTGTCTTAAGAATTAAGCAAAGGGATCAAGTTCGCTGGGAAACTAATGACCACTGGGTCATAATTCAAAAAACAAAGTAATAGTACCAAAATTGTAAGAAACTTTAAAAGGGAACAATTTTAATCAGCCAAGTCTGATAGTCTAGGAAGAACCATAATTTCAATCAGAAGACTTCAAAAATCTTGTCCAAGCTGATTCATTATGTAAACTCAGATATGGCTATTTAAACTCTCTGAATGTCATTTATTTTCATCTATAAATGGGAAAAAGAATACCTGTCTAAGTCACCTCTCAGGTCTTAGAAATGATTAACTGCTTAAGCAGAGCACTATTATCAACATAAAGAAAATTATTATTTTTCCTTAAAATGGCAGGAATCTATTGCTAAGTATTTGTGGCAGACTGAAAGGAAAAATGGCCCTGATATTTGGCATTCATTGGAAGGACTTTTGCTGAAGCTGAAGCTCTAATGCTTTGGCCACCTGATGTGATGAGCTGACTTACTGGAAAAGACCCTGATGCTGGGAAAGACTGAAGGAGAAGAGGGCAACAGAGGATGAGATGGTTGGATGGCATCACCAACTCAATGGATATGAGTTTGAACAAACTATGGGAGACAGTGAAAGACAGGGAAGCACCTGGCGTGCTACAGTCTGACTTGCTAACAGTTGGACATGACTTAGCAACTGAATAACAACAATACATTTATGTATTGAGGTGGAGTCCATCCTCTCTGCTTATCTCTGG